GTGAGCGTCACAGGCGGATCTACCGGGGGGAGGGGGCTTTCGGGCTGAAGCCCCTCCCCCCTCCCAAAATGATACAATATTACCATGTTTTGTGAAAATGTGAAAATCGAAATTTTGTTTATTAATTAGAAATTTTTTATTTCATTCTCATAATCTTCGATTAAATATTTATATTAAATTTATTAATATTTACAGATGTTTCAATGTTATGTTCAATCTTATAATTATACTTTTCAACGTTGGAAATCGTAATATTCTTTATCTCCGGCATCCATATTACCGGTTATCCAACTAATAATATTTCCTAAACCATTTATTAATCCTCGTTTATGACGGTTTTTAGTATCTATATGTTCAATCAACTCAAATTATTCTGAACCTTCATCAGTTAAATCGTTTAGTAAATGATACATTTTATCAAATTTAAAATTAGTTAAATGATTTTCTATATTTATTATTTCTACTCCTAATAAACTTAAGTTATGAAAATGATAATTTTCGTAATATTGATTAATAACTCTAGTATTATTTACAGAAAGATGAAGTATTCCTGGTGAATTGGTAAGAACAACTACTTTTATCATCAGTCTCTTCTGGGGATGAAGCGTCAGAATTGTTAACATGTAGGAAATCTTCATCTGAAACCACGGTCGAATCTACGGGAGGGGGGAGGAGGCTTTCGGACTGAAGCTCTCCCCAAAATGGTAAAATATAACCATGTTTTATGGAAAAAAAGTATTATTGTTCGTCTAATTACATTTAATAGGACTTAAAGAACAGTTAAACACCATTTCATATAGATAGTTAGTTTCTTTCTTTCTTCCGAAGTAATTGTCCTTTTTTTTTTTTTTTTCTACGCCTAAATAACGCCTGCTTCATCAGCCATGCGTGCTCTTGCAGTCCAATATAATTTTGCTCTCCTAGCATAAGGGCTGTCCATTTCATTAAAGGAACATCTTTTATTATCTTAATATATACATACAAAAAAAAATATTGTGGACTGTAGCCCACCCCGAAATTAAATCCTGGATCCGTTTGTGGTGAGCGTCACTAACCTATGATCCACATGAACTGTCATTTCACGTAATTAGGTGCGGCGCACAGTGGTTGAAATTTTTTTTTTCGGGACAATCTGGCATTACTAATCTATAGGTCACAGAAAAATAATTTTACCATTATAATCGCAACTAAATTTTCTTTCAAACATTTACATTAGAACACTGTTTAACCGGTTCTCCGGATTAACTGGGGTTAAACGAGATGAATAATATTTTTTTATCTCAGAATAAGATAGCTTCAACTAACTAAATTATTGAAACAAATTAGATAATTGTTTTTATTACAATCAATCTTGACCTATGAACTTATATTAAGAGAATTAATGGGGTAGCAAACTAATAAAGGGAAAATTAACAGTGTAACAAATAGTTAAAATCTTGCTATAGTGTGAAAGAAGAGGATTTATAGATTTTACGTTGTTCAATAGCTTTGACAGCAATTTTATTGTAATTGATAATAACAGGATCAGTTAAGCAAAAAAAATTAGCCGGCCTTGTGAAGACTAAAAAATAGGTAACAAACGTTTATACACTTAAATTAAATCATATATTTAAGAAAAGTTACAATAATGTGGTCCAATCAATTTAAATGCATCATATATTAATTAACTTTTTTTTGGTCTACAGGCCATGTAGACCTTTTGCCGCCTTAACAAGCCTGCTCCATCTCTGACTGTCTTGGGCTGTTTCTTTCCATTTATCTGCACGCAGCTCTATTGCATCTTTGTTGATTCTATCTATTCATCTGCTTTTTGGCCTTCCACTTGGTCTAGAGGCTTCCAGATGGAGTGCTCCGAGCTACATGCCCCGACGAATCCTGAAGCAAACTAAAAATGCCAAGTCCAAACATTATTTACATATAACCGTTATCTTAACCTTGATGATTAAACTATCTATTCTTGGACAAACAAAGAAAGTTTTCTCAATTGTAAACAGCCTTCTTTACAGAAATATAAATAACTGAATTCATATTTATTTTTGTATGTAATAAATTAGCAATTTTCTGTGTAACGTCATAATTATTATCAATGTAATCACTTAAATGTCCATTTCTAAAAAGTTCGTATGTAGGACAATGCAACAGAAATTGGTATAAATCTTCAGGTTCGCATGTATTATAAATGGAGCACTCAGCGCTCCTAATTACAATAGTTTTTTTTTTAAACTGTAAGAAGTTAAAATTAAGTTCTCAGGGTAGCGTAGTCTTAATTTTCTATAGTTTAAATATAATAGTCATATAATAGTGTTAATTTTCTAATCATTCGATGTTTTCATGTTTTATTAAGTAATATATTCATAAATTAAGTAAGGGAATGGATAAGAAGACTTTTGTCACTTCCACTGGAACTGGACCGGTGAGGTCCAAGGGGGAGTGGAACACGTTGTCACTGTTCCTAACCGAGACTGTTACACGTCACTGCTCCACCAGTACCGTCACACCCCTATACAGATATGATATTTGGAAAGAAATTAGTCCCTAAAAACAAAGTCGCTTTGATGATAACTCCAGGCAGAAGAATAGGAGTTCTGGTCGAGTAATGGGTTAGCTTAAATAAAATATCCAGAGAAGAAGAAGGTATATAGCCCTTCTTGGTTATTTGCACTCAAGAAACCTCAAAAACGTGTATATCCGTTGAAAATCAGATTCGAACATTTTCACAATCACAATAATATCCCTTACTACATATTTCATATACAGTGAAAGTAAAAATAAATCTGTAATGATGTAATTAATGAAATAAAATGTCTACAGACCTTTCAGAACTAGTATATTTATTCGAAACTTTCACATTAAGAAAAGTTATGTTGGTTCTATACACTGAAGAAACCTTCAACAGAAATTGTAAATTAGAAGAATTTGCGCAAATACAATTTTATTTTATATAATTTTCAAACACCTAATAAATCGAAACTATCTCCAAACCGAAGAATTTTTCGAACAAATAAAGAATGAAAACTCTTCTGAAATAAAAAAAATCTGATATAAACATGAGATTAGAAAGTTCAAAAATGATTTTACGGATATCATGAATTAGTGTAGTTGATAATGCTACTTGCTATCAAATATTTAATTAAATTAAATAATGAAAAAGTTCAAAAAGTCATTACATATCGATTAAACTAGATTTTTTCGATATTAATAATTGATTTTTTTTGATAAGCAAAACTCCTAAATAAGTATTTCAATGTTATTCCTTTTTTGGTTAATCAACTAAATAGATTTGTAACTTGATTTCTTGACTTGTAACTTTGTAACTTGTAACTTGGCTAATTTGTCATGTGATTTCACCAAAAACTACTGATCATTAAATTTTGAGTGGCAGGTATACTTCCCCTTAGGGTTACCATTTTGAATTTCAGATTACCAAGTTACTCCCGGTCAACAACATAGTTGTCATTTGAATATTTTGGAAAGTTATTTTATTGTAAGTATCAGTAGTAGATGATGTAGTTTATAAATTATTCTCTTATAATGTAATAAGAATGCCTTCCTTTCTCAATTATAGACTAAATGTTTTATTGTTTTTTCTCATGATTCAGCTTATTTCATTTTATATAGATAGCTGCTCTTAACATTATTACTTTTAAAACAAACAATACAAATGTAATCGTACATCTTTAGTATATCTATGATTTTCCTATATCATATGATATTTGAATGTTGTGTTATAAACAAAATAACAGCTTTTGATGGGAATGAGATATTCTGAATTGAATAACTAGTTTGCTGAAACAAACAAATTCTGTTGTTAATAAGTAATATTACTAGTTTTACTTCACTATATTTCTTGCATATTTGGAAGTTTATAACCATAAAAATGTAACAGGATCTGTATTATGCCCATGATATATAGAATCTTTACTTTCTGACTCCTCTCAGATATCTGGATTAATCCAAATTCCAAGAACTGGTGAAGAGAAGAGTTATTGCCCAAAGAACTTTTAAGCATAACTCCTGACCAATATTCAACCTTTACAAACAATGATGAATATATTTATTTTTTTTCTCTGTGCCTTCTATCAAGAAGAAGAGCTCTGCAAAACTTAAATGTTTGCAGTGGAAAACAAGACAAAAGGAAATAAAAAATCATGAAGCAAGGTGACAGTTGAAGAAAATTGTCAAGATAATGAAAAAAAAAAGTACAAGAGAAACTGTTTAAAAACATTGAAGAGATGGCTAACAAGAATGAAATTTTACCAGAAAATAAGTGCCCTCAAGAAGAATATTCACCTGTTAATAATCAGGTAAAAAGCAATAAAGGTGTACATACTCCTGACATCAAATAAAGAGTTTCTTCAAAGATGGAAAAATCATTTCAAAGAATTATATAATGGTGGTGTAGATGACATTGAAAGATTATTTATACAAGATCTCAACCTGTTAATTTTGAAATGACCTCTTACAGAAATGCTGTCTTCGGAAAATCCTTCAACTATAATTACTATTAATACATAATTGACTAATACTATACTATATATATTCATCCAGAAAAATTTACATGAAGTTTGATGTATAAAGTTATTTTTTATTGGACAATGTTTATCTTCTTATCTATTACTTTCTTCTTGATGCTTACTTTCCTCATGATTCTCTTTTACTTCATTAATATTCTTTCATTTTTCTTACCTCTTACTATTCTAAGCAACATTATTTAATATTTCTATTTATGAATTTATATATTCTATATTTCTTCAATTTTTTGTTTTAGTACTGATGAAATCCTAAAACTTCAAGAGTTTAAGAATAAGGTCTAAAAGATATAAGAAGGCGAATCATAGATCATAACCCCACTAGATTCACAAATAAAATAAAATAAGATAAAGTTAATATTAATGACATAATAGTATGTATACATAAATTTTGACTATAATATAAAAATATTTTTGTTTATGTTTCCAGCATTTCTTATAAATCGTGTCCTAATCAATCAACCAAGAATAATGACCAGGAAGCCTTTACGAGTACTATCCCTATTTGATGGGATATCTGCGGGTATTGCATTTTTCTATTGTTATAATAATTTTTATTAATTATGTAACCAAATGTTAGTATATAGTGGTATTATTATTGGTTCTGGTGGATTCTGGACATCGCATTCCACTATCCAACAATGTCATAGTGTGGTTGATTGTCATAGTTATAGTCTCCTCTGCATTGGAGTGAGGAATGTACTGCACGGGAGTCTTTCTCGACGTTGAACAGGCGTTTGAGAGACCTTCGGTTAGTGGGAGGGACCCAGTCCAGTAGCCAGTCTCTGGTTCCTTCATTAGTACAGGTAAGGAGGAACCAACCCGGTTCCACCTGATAGCCAGAATTTTTTAAAGCTAGAGGTCTCCTTGTGGAGTGTGGCTCATTATACCTAAGGTCAATTTCAGCTATGAGGAGACTGCGTATGAGTTGCAATTCGTCCTGTGAGGTAGGTTCCCCCATAGATACCCTCCTGGCTCCCCATTATAACCACTTGCAATACCCTCCCAGCTGCAGCGTCCCTGTAGGATCGGGTATTCCCCTGATCCAACTGAGTGCCTTGCTATGAAGAAGGTCCAGTGACAGAGTTGTTAGCCCTTCTAGGCAATTGCTTCAATCTTTTCTTGTCTTGCTGGCGGGTATTCATTGGTGAGAACTCCTCACCTGGCCTTTATCTTTCATATATTTAATGGCAGGGTTGGTCCTTGAAGAGGATGCCCATATCTGTGTTGCCCGAGAAGGGGTACTAGGAGAACAAGCCTCTTCTCCCCCCTCCTGTATCAGCTCTAAAGTAGTTCCAGGGAAGTTTCTCTCTTGTCTAACTAGAGGGGAATGACCCATGATACTCCCTGATGAATGAGGCTGCCTGTGGGAAGCCAGATCAGAGATTGGAGTGGAGTCCAGTGGTCTCAGAGGAGCAACTCCGGTCCGTGCATTAGGGTCCCATCCAGGCACTAATGGAACATCCGAACTTTTACACTGGGCTGATGGAGCAGCCACTCCTTCTTGGTTAGGAGGTATGGGCTCTTGTATTATCCCAGCCAAGGTGTGCCATCTCTCGTTTTCCTCTGTACCCTCTGAAGCAACTCCCCCAGGCGGGCTCAACCATTCAAGAAGGGAAGGAATGCAGGACGACAGGAGTGACCTTTGTGAGTTACGTTCTGTGATTGGGTGTGGTGGTGAGTAGTGCTTCTCCAGTTGCTAACCTGCACCTCGCCTGGCTCTTGGTTCAGGTGTGGAGGGTATCCCCAATTGCAGCCTGACCTGCTTCCCCTTCTGGAGGGGCTTCTTAGGAAAGGTGACCCTAGGGTGTGTACTGTAGGTGTCCTTTATGTTTGTCTGCTGTGGTAGTGTTCTGTGTGGGTGTCAGTGTAATTATTTCCCCAACATGGAGGGTCAGTGGCTGATTGCGGTCAGATGACCGGGCGATGGGGCCACCAACTCCCTACGCCTGTCGATTGAAAAGTAATTTTGATGTATAAGACCTTGTGTAAGGACTTAAGACAAAAAAACTTAGGAGAAGTTTGTCAAATAGGGCTTTGACAGAAGAGGAATAGATTAGAGGAGGAAGCAGTGATCGATACAAGATTGGTATTTGTTGATTTGGCTCTACTAGAAGTCACCTCACACTGCAGCATCCTTTGGTAGAAAAAGGTTCGATTAAAAAGAAGAACTATATATTTTTTAATTATAATTAGTTATTAAATTATCTATAAAGGAAATGATTATTACTCTCACATATTCTACAAAAATAAAATCAGTCTGCCTCTTTTTGTTTCTTAACTATAAATTATATTACATGTATTGATTTTTCAATCCTGTTTTTTATCCAATTGTACCAAATTATTATTTTATCATATTATTTTAAATTGCTATGAAAATACTCTCAAAAATAAAACATTTTACAATATTTTACAGGGTATGTAGCTCTACAAGAAGCTGGTCTTGCTATTGAAAAATACTTTGCTAGTGAAATAGATGAAGATGCCATAAGAATTTCAAAAATTAATTCTAAAGGTGGAATATGTCATCTAGGAGGTGTTGAGCAAATTGATGAAAATGTTATAAGAGCAATAGGGCCTATTGACTTATTGATTGGTGGTTCACCTTGTGTTGACTTAAGCTTAGTAAACCCAGCTAGAAAAGGATTATTCGGTAATGATAGAGTATATTATTATTAATACTAGATATTTTTAAAAACTAGCTGAAGATAGATTATTTTTTATTTACCTTATTACAATAAAGTAATTAAAAATAATCTATAGTTTTATATCTAAATACTATAGAGTTTATTAGACATTAATCTCGATTTTATAATTTTTACTTGGCCACACGAGTTGGCTTTGTCATGAGAAAAAATAAAGTACAGTTTTCATGTTTTTTACAGTTATATTTCATAAATTTGTGTTAACTTTGTTAAGTGAATCACTTCCTGTTTTCTTTAGTAGAATAATTCTGTTCTATTCAGTCGGCGTGACAACTTGATATTGAGTCTTGGCCTCCTGTACCAGCCTCCACCAATTGTTCTTATCCTGTGCAGCTGCCATCCACCTCCTCACTCCCAACATGGACCTGGCATCATTAGCCACACCGTCACTCCACCGAAGCTGAGGTATTCCTCTACGCCTTGTTCCGTGCATTAGTTCTGTCATGTTCTTTTTCGGAACGTGATTCTCAGCCATTCGAGTGACGTGCCCAGCCCGTCTCAATCTATCGAGCTTCATGAAATGATCCATGTCTGGTTCTTTAAACAAATCTTTGAGCTCCTGGTTTGTCCGATGTCTCCATAACTGGTCAACTTTCACAGCTCCAAAGATTTTATGGAAAATCTTCCTCTCAGAGACCATTAGATTCTGCTCGCCAGTTTTGGAGATAGTTGATGTTTCTTCTGAGCCATAAAGGAGTATCGGTCGGATAATTGTTTTATACAATAGGATTTTTGTTCCTCTGGTTAAAGCATGGCTCCTAAAATATGGACCGAGGCCACAATAACAACTATTGGCACATAGCACTCTTCGCTTAATTTCAGAATCCACAAAATTATCATGAGTTATGAGGGATCCGAGATAAATGAATTCCGACACTTTTTCAATGGAGAATTCTCCTATGGTAAACCTTTCGCCCAGTCTGGGGTTTTCCTCAGTGACCATATATTTGGTTTTTGCAGCATTGACGTAAAGGCCCATTTTTCTTGCTGCTTCCACTAGTTTCAAGAATCCATAAGAGACTGTCTGGAAAGAGCTTCCAGCAATGTCGATATCATCTGTATAAGCAAGAAGTTGCACTGTCCGGCTGAATACTGTTCCGCCCACTCGAATACCAGAATCTCTAATGGACTTCTCTAAAGCTAAATGAAAGAGAAGTGCCACTGCATCTTCCTGCCTTAGTCCTTTTTCAGAAGTAAATTCTGCCGATCTTGCTCCTCCAACTTGCACCATGCATCTCACTTCTCTCATGATGGGTCTTACCACTTACCATTCTAATAAGCTTTTCAGGGATTCCGAGCTCTCTCATTGCCTCATAAAGTTGTTTCCTATAAACACTATCACACGCTTCTTTAAAATCAACAAAAAGCTTATATTCATGTCCTTTTTCAAGCATGATGCGCAAGCAAAATATCTGGTCAATGGTAGATCGTCCTTTCCGAAAACTATAGATGGCTACACTCTGTTCTATACCGGGGGAAATGACAAAAATGGGACAGCTGGCCCTGGATTTATAGTTAATCCAGCCGCAAGGAAGTCAGTAATGATAGAGTATATTATTATTAATACTAGATATTTTTAAAAACTAGCTGAAGATAGATTATTTTTTATTTACCTTATTACAATAAAGTAATTAAAAATAATCTATAGTTTTATATCTAAATACTATAGAGTTTATTAGACATTAATCTCGATTTTATAATTTTTACTTGGCCACACGAGTTGGCTTTGTCATGAGAAAAAATAAAGTACAGTTTTCATGTTTTTTACAGTTATATTTCATAAATTTGTGTTAACTTTGTTAAGTGAATCACTTCCTGTTTTCTTTAGTAGAATAATTCTGTTCTATTCAGTCGGCGTGACAACTTGATATTGAGTCTTGGCCTCCTGTACCAGCCTCCACCAATTGTTCTTATCCTGTGCAGCTGCCATCCACCTCCTCACTCCCAACATGGACCTGGCATCATTAGCCACACCGTCACTCCACCGAAGCTGAGGTATTCCTCTACGCCTTGTTCCGTGCATTAGTTCTGTCATGTTCTTTTTCGGAACGTGATTCTCAGCCATTCGAGTGACGTGCCCAGCCCGTCTCAATCTATCGAGCTTCATGAAATGATCCATGTCTGGTTCTTTAAACAAATCTTTGAGCTCCTGGTTTGTCCGATGTCTCCATAACTGGTCAACTTTCACAGCTCCAAAGATTTTATGGAAAATCTTCCTCTCAGAGACCATTAGATTCTGCTCGCCAGTTTTGGAGATAGTTGATGTTTCTTCTGAGCCATAAAGGAGTATCGGTCGGATAATTGTTTTATACAATAGGATTTTTGTTCCTCTGGTTAAAGCATGGCTCCTAAAATATGGACCGAGGCCACAATAACAACTATTGGCACATAGCACTCTTCGCTTAATTTCAGAATCCACAAAATTATCATGAGTTATGAGGGATCCGAGATAAATGAATTCCGACACTTTTTCAATGGAGAATTCTCCTATGGTAAACCTTTCGCCCAGTCTGGGGTTTTCCTCAGTGACCATATATTTGGTTTTTGCAGCATTGACGTAAAGGCCCATTTTTCTTGCTGCTTCCACTAGTTTCAAGAATCCATAAGAGACTGTCTGGAAAGAGCTTCCAGCAATGTCGATATCATCTGTATAAGCAAGAAGTTGCACTGTCCGGCTGAATACTGTTCCGCCCACTCGAATACCAGAATCTCTAATGGACTTCTCTAAAGCTAAATGAAAGAGAAGTGCCACTGCATCTTCCTGCCTTAGTCCTTTTTCAGAAGTAAATTCTGCCGATCTTGCTCCTCCAACTTGCACCATGCATCTCACTTCTCTCATGATGGGTCTTACCACTTACCATTCTAATAAGCTTTTCAGGGATTCCGAGCTCTCTCATTGCCTCATAAAGCTGTTTCCTATAAACACTATCACACGCTTCTTTAAAATCAACAAAAAGCTTATATTCATGTCCTTTTTCAAGCATGATGCGCAAGCAAAATATCTGGTCAATGGTAGATCGTCCTTTCCGAAAACTATAGATGGCTACACTCTGTTCTATACCGGGGGAAATGACAAAAATGGGACAGCTGGCCCTGGATTTATAGTTAATCCAGCCGCAAGGAAGTCAGTAATAAACTTCACGCCAGTTAATGAAAGGATAAGTGTGTTGCGCTTAAGAGGTCGTTGGTTTAATATCACGATTATTAATTTGTATGCACCAACCGAAGAAAAAGAGGATGAGGTGAAGGATAATTTCTATGATCAGTTAGAAAAAGTTGTGGACCAGGCTCCAAAATATGACATAAAATTAGTCATGGGAGACTTCAATGCCAAGATAGGTCATGAAATCCAATTTAAACCCATCATCAGAGGCCAAAGTTTCCACGAAATTAGCAATGACAATGAAGTGAGATGTATTAGTCTGGCAGCAGCTAAAGTTCTAGTAGTAAGCAGTACAATTATCCAGCAGAAGGATTTACATAAGTATACCTGGGTAAGTCCTAAACGAGCAGATAGCCAAATCGACCTTGTGCTGACAGACAAGAGGCATCAAAGCTCCATACAAGACATAAGGAGTTATCGTGGAGCAGATTGTGATTCGGACCATATTCTGATTAGAATCAAACTTCAGAGGCTGAAGCAAATCCACTGAATTGGGAACCAAGTAGAAATAAAGAGGTATGAAGTCCGTAATTTGAAAAACCCTATAGTACAAGCTGAATTTCAAATTGATCTGAAAAATAAATTTGAACGCGTAAGGCCTCACGGTTGACCAACACTGGGAGGCACTAGAGTCAGGGCTAAAACAAACAGCTAAGGAATAATAAAAGGATTCAGAAAAAAAGAAAAGCCAAGAAATAGTTCACAGAAGCATGCGAAAAGACAGTGGAGAAAAGAAGAAAAGTTTTCTGCTTAGCACAAACTGATCAAGCTATGCTGGAAAAATACACAGCCGCCAGGAAAAAGACAAACAAAATAATAAGAACAGCCAAAAGAGAATTCCTCAAAGAAAGATTACAAACTATTCAGGAAAACTAGCAGGCTGGAAATATATGCGAATTCTTCACAGATATGTGGAAAGAAAGGGTAGAATATAAAGCGAGAAATCCATAAATGCAAGGGAAAGATGGCAAATTGACGGCGTCAAAAGAAAAGATCCTGAGCATCTGGAAGGAACATTTCCAGCAGCTGCTTATTCAAAGCCACCCCACAAACGAAAAAGACCTGGACCACACTGAGGACATCGACCCACTTGAGGTTGAAAAACCAGATATTCTGGATGTGGAAATAACTATCGGCTGCTTAAAAGAAGAAAGGATCCAGGGATAGACAACCTGCCATCAGAATTGTTCATGGATGGGGTAGAAGACCTCAGAGCCAAGCTGTTAGATCTAATCCAGAAGATATAGGAGAAGGAACCAGAAGCATTGAACAAAGGGTTGATCTTTCCTTTCCTTAATAAGGGCTCCATGTACGAATGTGGCAATTACAGAGGCATAGCACTTCTTCCTGTTGCCTATAAAATAATGACTAATATTCTGCTGAATCGGATATATCCATATTATGAAAACATAATAGGCGACCATCAAACAGGATTCAGGAGAGGGAGGAGTATACTAGATCAGATATTCATCCTAAAACAAGTTCTTGAAAAACGAGGGGAAGTAGGTCAGTACATACATGCCTTGTTTGTTGACTTCAAAGCAGCCTATGACTCCGTGGACAGAAACTGTCTCTGAAAGATCATGACTGAGCTGGGTGCTCCTGGAAAGTTAGTGAGATTGACAAAGGCGTGTACAAATGATCCTAAATACAGAGTACTAATACAAGGAGAAGTATCTGAAGCCTTTGAAGTTTAAACGGGTTCGAGGCAGGGAGATGGACTTTTGCCGATGGTATTCTACTTAGCACTAGAGAAAGTAATACGAACTACATCATACGAAGATGGAGGGATGCATGTCAGAATGAAACACAAACTCCTAGCATATGCGGGTGATATAGCTGTCCTCAGAAGCAATCAAGAGGATATTGGGAGACTCGCTCGGACTCTGTTAAAAGATGCAGAGCAAATTGGACTACTATTCAATGTAGATAAAACAAAATACATGATAGTTAACTGAAACATCCACCTTAATAACATGATCAGCAAGTAGACAGATTTAATTACCTTGGCTCCACAATAACCTCAATAAATGAACAACTAACAGAGATAGACCAGCGAATAACAATTGCAAACAGATCTTTCTTCTCTCTTTCAAAGGTACTGAAATCCAGAAAAATCTCCAGAAATTTAAAAATAAGGATGTACAAAGCCGTGATTAGCCAGTTCCGCTGTACGGTTGTGAAAGCTGGACTCTAACCAGCACACTAAAAGCCAGAATTGAGAGATTCAAAAGAAAAGTTCTACGTAAGATAACAGGACCTAATGGGACCAGAACCTTCACACATGGAGGAAATAACTGCTGAAGGAAATGGGTCAGTCAATATCTCATGACATGAAGGCAAGGAGATTAAGATGGGTGGGGTACTTAACATCACCAGTGAAGATACTAATTAATAACACTTTATGCTGAAGAACTCAAATTAGGAGAAGTGCCTCCTCATCAGAACTACTCATTTTCTATTTAAAAAATAAATAAGAAAAACATCGAAAAAAATTAGTAATATACAACTTGTGGGAAGCGGATGCTCTAATTAATTTGGCTAGGCAGAACAATGGTGCTGCTGTATCAAAGTAATGCTGTGTGTGGCCACCCCGTATTAGGTATCGTCGTGAGTTTTGAGCAGCACTGTAATGTCAGGTCGTACCGCATTCTGTGTATAGGAGCCTTTAGACTTTCTGAAAATCCCTTTTATCATTGACCTTTGTAAATTTAATCATTGTTTTCTAATAAAAAAAAAATTTGTACTTTACAATGGTGTACTTAGAATTTTGTTGTCTTGAACAGTTTTTGAGCAATTACTTCTTATTCAATAAAAAACATGACCACACAAAATTGGTCTTGACTCCTTTTCCGTTAAGAATTGGTCCATCCATCAAATGTACTTTTTGTTGACAATTTTGTCTAGTATCACCCACCAGAGTTTGGCCATTAAGAAATTAGATACTCTGTATAGTGCATGGATGATTCTGTTTTAATATAATATATTTATCCTACTTATGTTATTTAAACAACTAACTACTCTCTTAAGATACATGTTTAAAATGACCCATATATATTCACTGACAGGCAAAAAATTCCACCCACTTGATTTTTTCATGTTTTCATCTAAAAATATTTCTGCCACTTGTAAAAAAAGTTGTATTTGTATATAATGCATGGTATTTGTAGATAATACTTAGTATTTATGGAATTTTATAATCTTTTTTACCTTTAATAATCAAAATGTGATGGGGTAAGAAAGATTAGAGAAAAAAAATTGAAAAACGAACCATTATTATTCTAAAAGAAATTAATTACATCATCGTTTAGTAGCATGTGTTTCCTCCTCTCGCCTTCACTACTTCTTGAAGACGCCTCGGCATACTTTCCACCAGTCGGGAAATGTCCCTTTGCTGGAGGATAGCCCATTCCTCCCGGAGAGCCCTTTTAAGGTCCTGCAGTGTATCAGGAAGTGTTGCACGCGCTCTTATTCGTCTTCCGAGGTTATCCCATAAATGCTCAATGGGGTTCAAATCTCGAGAACATGCTGGTCAGGCTAAAACCTCAATATTGTTCTGTTAAAGGAACATCTGCACTATGCGGGCGACATGTGGGAATGCATTAGAATAGAACGATCGCCGATTTCGTTGAGGATATGCAACACATGAGGTTCCAAAATCTCATCTACATAGCGAATGGCCGTCAAAGACCCTCCACGAACAACAACCAATTCTGTGCGGCACTCCATTGAAATCTCAGCCCACACCATTAAGGAACCATGTTGGAAAGGTTGGCTCTGGGAAAAATTACAGGCTGCATATCTTTCGTTTCTTCTACTCCACACCCTTTCGCGCCCGTCTAGAGATCGAAGAGCGAATCTTGACTCATCTGTAAAAAGTACAGCACTCCATTCGTCCATAGTCCAATGGCTGTGTTCTCGAGCAAAAGCCAGCCGTGTTACTCTGTGAGTTCTGGTCAACTCTGGTCCTCTTAATGGACAAAAGCCATTAATCCATACTCATTTAATCTTCTCCGAGTGGTACATTCAGAAATTTGCACACCTCGAACTTCTTCGAGCTGATGAATCGCTTGAACAACGGTAAGGTGCCAGTTTCGTAAAATTCTCAAAGTCAAAAACCGGTCATCCCATGGTTCTGTTACCCTAGGCCGTCTAGAACCAGGGGTTGTAAGAACCAGTTTCCTGAAAACGCCTGACGGCGTCTCGTAAAGTTTCATATGGGACTCCGATAGCATTAGCTGCATATTTAATGGAACGTCCATCATCAATAAGTTTCACACCACGCTCAACATCCTCAGCACTAAGAGGCATTTTTAAACTTAATATTGAAAAAATTAAAAGCTGGAGACTAAGAAATGTGCTGCAAAAAACGGCACTGAACTAATGATACTGAATAAACATTTTGATTCCATAGAAAGTAAACATTGGAATCTAGAATCATTTCATTGAATTAAGGATTAAGGGTTATTTTCCTCTATATTAACATTCCTAATTGAAAACAAACAAAAAGATTACCTATTTATTCATTAAAAACAATAGACCAATCCAAAGCAGAAATATTTTTAGATGAAAACATGAAAAAATCAAGTGGGTGGAATTTTTTGCCTGTCAGTGTACATTTATTTATTAATATTAGAAAAATTGTGAGCATTCATTTTGCATTTTCTTAAAATCATATATTATTTTCATTTTAGATTCACAAGGAACAGGACACTTATTTTTTGAATACATCCGAATTCTACATCTGGTTCGTATGGAATACAAGAATGTTATTTTTTTATTTGAAAATACTGCTGCCATGCCAGAAATATTTAAGGACACAATTTCTCAGTTTGTATTTTTGTTAATTTTGGTATTCTTTTAAAAAACATAATATTTATAGAATTATTATTAATATGATAGGGTTTATTTCTTATTAAATAAACATAGAAAGTAATTAATAATTGGAATATTCTAGAAAATTTGGGTATTATATTATCTATTTCAACAACATTCGTTTAAACAAGATACATTACTAATTATAAAAATACAATTTTTTTTTCTACTTGCAATTTTTTTATTCACACCAGTCAAAAAATAGTAGTGACCATCAGTGAATTTGATGACAGTGCAAAATGCAATGGCATGAGTGAAAAATACAATTAAACGAAAAACATACTATTAAGTGTAACAAATTGTGTATGAATAGTATTGTAATCAAACTTGTATATGGCCCAATTAGCAAAACTAATTGGCAGAACATGAGTGAGAAGAATCTACATGGAAACTTGTCTAATTTTGAGAGGCTTTGTCAGGTCCTTGGCTTCAAGCAGAATACATTCGGGATTCACAAGTATTAACTGTTTGCCAGTAAATTGTAGTTTTGTAAAACTAATGCTGTCAATTAACAATTAGACATGGGTGTAAATACAAAGATAGGGTCATAATGACTAGAAGGACTAAAGGGATATTTTTTTAATAGTGCATTGATGGTTGACTATAGTGAAGATAAGTTGGTTGGGGTGTTCAGTCAGAAATACAACGTAAAAAAAATAAATGATATTTATTTTTGCCGACCTTTCAGCCAAAAGCTCAGGGACTCATATGCTTTGTTCTAAGAAGCTAATATTTTTTTAAAAAATTATTACAGTAGTTCCTCATTAACATAAAGGTGATGGGGAACCGATCTCTAAACTGAGTGTTACTGTGCGCAGTATAGTATAAGTGAATGTAAAAGAAAAAAAAAAACAGTCCTAAGAGAATAAATGATCAATGATAAATAAGAAGGTATATGTGCTCTATAAAAATTAAAATATTGTAGTCACTGTCTAAAAGTAGTACCTCATACAGTATGGCCATGTATAGAGGATGGAGAAAGATAGGTTACCAAGGGAATTTCCTTATATAATTTCCTTATACTGCACAAGAAGAGCTTGCCTTAGAGAAAGAACCCAGCTGTAGTGACTCAACAGAGTTAAAGAGAAGACCTCAGCCTTGTGGGTATAAGTAGATGGAGAAGAATAGCTGGTCAGGCTGAAGCTTGTTTTTGCACTTCAGATCGGTTGAGGACTGTTAAGTAAATTAATAATAATGATAAAGGAAAAAGAAGGGGCATAAAGTGAGGAGTCATGAATGATTGTTTACTTAATATTTTTACCTAAAATTAGTTTTTGTTAACCCTATTATATAAATTTTTAAACAATGTTTATAAAAATTGTAAAAAGATTAAAAAATGCATTGGATTCAATTTCTTCTGAGTATTTTCCCACATTGTCAACAATGAAATTATGACCTCTTGGCCCCAAATACTCATCCTTAACCTCAAGCAGGGGCCTATCACTTCTTTTATGTTACATAAAGATTCTGTTTTCAAGTACCAAATCAGTAAAACTTCTTCACTTTTTTCCTTTGAAGTAACAGCTTTTTCAGCCCAATATATTTTAATAGAACTTCTTCTGTACAGCACAAATCCTGGAGGTTAAAACCTGAAGTTTTCGGAAATTATTAATTTTTTTTTATAAGCAATACCCTGTTTAAGCCCATTGTTCTCACAAATCTCTTTTTGCTTTAAAATGTCATATATCTCTGTTTTCCAATTCTGAATTGTCCAGCTAAATTTCAAGTTCTTTTTGTTCAGATACATTCATGAATAACATGAATTCTTTCTGTGTAAGTTAACCTGAAGCAAGTTGACATTCAAATCTTTAGAACTTACAATAAAAGGTTTAAACTTTTATCTCGGTTTGTAAAACAAATTTCCAGTATACATAATTGAACTAAGCTTCTATAAATTGGCTAAATATTACGGGAATATTAGCCTCACTGGAGTCCTGTTGTCCATTATGGAGAAATTTTTCAATCAAAATCCTTCCATCAAGCCTGTCTGCAGCTGTTATAGAGAATGATTGTTATGCACAATTCATTAATATTATGAAATTATTGAAATCAGATGGGCATTATAAATTTATTCACTGTAGGGAAGTATTCGCTATGTGATGTTTCATCGTATTTTTTTTTCTTACTGTCTCCAAAATCATTCAATAAAAAAAGATAGTTTTGAGCTCACCTTAATTAAACTCATAGTAATTTTGTTCTGATTCTTTCAGTGACTTCTTTAGTAAAACCATTAGCTTAAACTTTTTTTCCCCTCAGAAATTGAGTTTCTCAATGAATTTTCAGTTATGCTTCAAAAATATAATATTCTTATTTGATGATAATGGGCAGTGTGGCTGTAAGTGTATTATTATCATTAAACATTTTATCATCAATTGATTAGTAATAATAAAAAAAAATCATGGTCTACAATTTATAATGTTTTATTTTCTTTCAGTTTTCTTGAATGTGATCCTATAAAAATAAATTCAAAAGCTTTTTCGCCTCAGATTAGAGCTAGATACTTTTGGGGAAACATCCCTAATATGAAACTTCTGAAAAAGAAAGTTGATACTACAAACATCAAACTTGCGAATTTTATTAGTCCCTTTTGTAACAGGGTTGCAATTGTTGAAAAAATAAGAACTATTACAACTAATTCAAATTCCCTTAGCCAAGGTATTTTGTTAGTTCTTTCATTATTATAGCTTTAATTTTATTTACAATATTTGAAACAGTAATCATAATCAGTAAGTGTTAGTTTTCTGTACCACAACTTTGTATGATTTCTTCTTAGTTTCTGATTAATTAAAATATATTCCATAAAAATAATCAACCCATTTCCGAAGGTTAATACATTTAAGATAGAAATCAATTATTATTAGACTGATTCACAAATGTGAGTTTAAAATGTATTCAGATTTGAAATAGTTTTTTAAAAGTTAAGAATTTTAATACTTTTGTTTTTCCTTTTATAATTTATTTTTAAGAAAAAAGAAGGAAAATTAAGTAAAATCATTTGAAATAACAGTACATATACTTAAAGACAAATTCTAAGGTTATAATAGAGATGTTATATTTTTGTTATTACAGTTCCAATGCCTGTAGCAGGCAGTGCTCGTATGTTAATAGGAGGCACACAAACTTTGAGATAAATGGAAACTGGTTTATTTGTGTAATAAAAAATTCTTATTCTTTTTAAAGTGAGCAGGCTTCTTTACTACTGCTACTGGTAATGGTACTGATGGAGGGAACTAGTCCAGCAAGTAGGGAACTTGGTTCTTTTTACCATCCGCTGACGGCTACCTTGAGGTTGCTGCTGTGTACTTCCTAGAATGGGAATGTCAAGATTTATTTCTCAGGGCTACTGAGAAATGAAAATTAACCAACCCAGGTGGGAATTGAACCCACAATTTTCAGAACCAGGTACTCTGGGATCCACACCCCAACGTGCTCGGTCATCCTGTCCTCGGTTTCTTTGCTAACATCCATAGAATACAAATAACAAATTATACCAACTAAATTATCCACACCTATGATCAATATATGTATGTTTGAGTATCCACAATTTCTTTATGTTTATTTACTTTCCATTTACATTCCCATGTCCCATGAGTAATGTGACCAGAAATTTCACACTTTCATTCTTTTCCAATTTCATCTAGTTATTTTTACTTTATTGTTTATAGCATCTATTTTACAGTATTGTGACCTTATTGCTGATATGTTTTCTTAAATATATATCTTTATAGCTATGTAAATACTCATGTTTTAGTTATTCTTTTATTATGATAGGTCTTGTGGCCAGATTTAATGTTAATTTGTATGAACAATATCGTTATTCTTAAGGGAATTTGTACCAGAATAAAGTTGGTTTTTCTATTTCTATTTCATAAGAAACTTGTTATGATCACTGACAAATTTCTTACCACTTAGAGTGCTAAGTCCAATACCAAAAGTTGTTTGTATTATTTTCCTTAATATTGGTCCTGTTGCTTTGAAGCAAATTTAATCTTTTCGCTATTGCAAGTGACGAGTTTTACATCAATCACAGCAGTGAGATGGCTACCTGTGTCTATAGGCTGGTGCTACATACTTTTTACCTGCATGCTATTCTTTATTCTGTCTCTTTACTACTATCTGTTAACCTATTTTATTGTTTCCATCCTCATTTTTGATTCGGGCTGTGGACCAACACTGGCGGAGTTAAAGGTTTTTTATTTTATTTTATTTTTGTTTAACATTTAAATATATTCTTAGTAATTTAATTTTGTATGATATTCTTCGAAGCATTTTTCTACAAAAAGACCAATTTTACAATCACGACATTCTACTTTTTCTTTGTGTTAAATTTTACTGTTTTTAACAAACGATACATCTTTGGTACATCAATAGATGCAGACTTCAGGGAAGGGAGCTAGAATAGAATTGTTTCCCCTCTCCCAATAATTTGAGGTAAAAAAATTAAAATAAATAATAAATAAGGTACATGAATGAATAAAATGTTTAAAGAAGACAAGTCTACTAGCTGGCTAGGTAGGCTAGGATATAGTAGCAGGTATGTAATTATTTTATTGATACTTAAATGTTACTTTTATTTAAATTGTCATTTACATAGCGCAAACTTTCAATTTTGATTGGGGGGTGATGGACCAAAAAAAAATTACTTTAGTAGGTTTTTCAAGGGCACTTACAAGTGGTGTCTAAGGAGAAGAAAAAATAGAAGATGGGAGTTTTTATATATGTGTGAAAATTCTACATAATTATTGTGAAAGGAACAAATATAACATTGTATAATTAAAATTAATTTGTTTATATGTTTGTATAGTTGTAAGGATTTTTATTTATTTTGTTTTACTCATTATATATCATTGAAAATATCTAAAAAAATACAATTGAAAATATAAATTATTTGTGAAGATTAAAAACAGGGAGGACGAGAGACAGCCTTCATAACATTGGCACATTTCTAGAACATTTTCAGCTAAAAATGAATAATGTAAAAAATTGAATATCTTACATTTCTTGGTGTTTTATACATTCTAGTTCTGTTATGAATAGTTAAATTACCGAATCAGAAGCATTGAAAAAATGAAAATCACTTAATTTGAGAGAGGTAGATACTACAAGTGAAATACGCCTTCTATTCCATGATTGGTCCAGCTGATCGCCCTTTTTGTGAATAGGGCAGATAATAGTTCTCATCAACACATTCAATACAATAGTCAATATTTTTTTCATATTTTGCACAAAAAAAAAAATCTATTGATATATAATACCCTAAAAATCTGGACAAGATAAAGGAAAACATAAATAACATATGTTGTGATTTAATTATATAAATATATAATTTAATTATATAACATATAATTATTAGAGATTATATTTTTTTTTTCGGCTCCTAAGGCCTATCGGAAGGAACGTTGGGTTATATATCTAGTATTTTTTTATGTAAAAAACCAAAAACAATTGGGTTGAAATCGGTGACCCACAGACTGTATCCTCTCCTTGTAAGACTTATGAGATATACCAGCCACGTGCAGACAATAAATTGTATCATACCTGATAAATTGCATGTCTCAGAACATAAATCAAATTTAAATTGGAATAAGTGTCTAAGAAAACAGATTGAACAAGCCAGACTTGACATTACTAGAAAATAACAGGAACTTGATAGGGAGTGTGAAATGTTTTTGCCTTTCAATATGGGTCACACTCCAAGAAAAGTAAATTTTAGTTATAAATAATATTAATTGTAGTCATAACAATACCCCCCATTTAAGCTTATGAAGATTCTTACTTCTGTACATTATTAATATCTCAACCTAATCTTATATTGTTTAATATTATTGTTTTTTCTAGGTAAAGAAAGAATTCCAGCTGTTATGATGGAAGGAGAATATAATAATCTATGGATAACAGAAATAGAAAGAATTTTTGGCTTTGCAACTCATTACACTGATGTTGGGAACATATCTTTACGAAAAAGATTATTACTATTAGGAAACTCTTGGAGTGTTGCAACAGTAAAGGAAATATTTTATTCCTTGAGAAATCATTTCTGTACTACCTAAAAATAAAACATTGTACAAATTCAAGCTAAATATGATAATATCTAAACTCCATGTGATTCCATTTGAATTCCTTATTTTCTGTTCAAAGTTAAATCCAGTACATAGAATTATTTAATTAGTTTATATTTGAACTTTATATACTATGTTTATTGTTTTTTTTTTTAAATCTTGTAATTATGAAAAAGTTTATTGAATTGGATTTTATTAATTGATTAGAAGTTAAAGATTTTATTATGTTATTAGAAATGGGTAGTTTATTCTTTTAATTTTAAGCTATAATATATTATTCAAAAGTGACAAAGAAAGAAATATATCAAGTTTTAATATTGCACAGTTTAATTTTATTTTATAAAAGAAGGTTTATGAAAGTTAATAATCCCTACAAAGCTTTTATTAATTTAAATATAATAATGTTTCAAATAACTGTAGCTCCATTTTAAAGTTTCAAAAATATTTCAAACATTCTAGACATTCGTAATCTATTAATTTTATTCACATATCAAAATCCTTCATAGTGTGCTGTTTTGTTTATAAAAATTAGGAATAAAGTATTTTTTCCAGAACTAACAATCGTGTTATTAGAGATTTTAATATGAACGAAATTCTCACATTTCAAATTACATCTATGACTGAAATTTTTTTTAAAATTTTAAAATAGACACGTGGTCATTCAAAACGTTTTATTTTTTAAAAAATCAAAATCTTTTAAAAGTGATCAAGAAATAATTTAACTTACAGAAACCTTATTTAATAAATGTTAGAGATACAAGGAAATGTCAATTATATATTTGAAGACTATAATATTATGTTTTTGTTTTATTATGTAACTTTTATTGAAAAAACAAAACAAAAGAAGATGGAAAACTGTATAATCATATTGATTTCTTAAATTTTAATTATGTTAATGTTATTATTATTAATATTTCTGTATTATTTAAAAAATATAGATCTTTTTACACACCTTATAATAAAGTTTTGTTTTAAAGAATGTCTTATTTTTTATTCATAAATGTGAACCTAATTTAATTTTCACATTCAAATCTAATGATGATTGTAGGCACAGATTATGGAGGGGGGAGAGGATCGCCCCCCTCCCAATAAAAATGTTGAAGAGAGGAAAATATTTTTTCATCTCCCCAATAATTTGAGGCAAAAACAAAAAAAATCAATAATAAATAAGCTAAATGAATGAATAAAACATGTAAACTAAAATTGATTAACAAAAGTTGACTAGCTAGGGCCTATTAGTCGGTATGTAACAATTTTATTGGTACCTAAATGTTACTTTTAGTTAAATTGTCATTTATATATGTAGATATTAATACACGGGGTTTCCTGTAAGTAGAGGGAAATATTTAAATAAATAATAGTAGGCCTCAAGAGTAATCAAAAACTTCATTTAAACAATAGTCCAATTTTCGACAGAATAGTAGGAAATTTAAGTTTTGTGTTTTTTAAGTAATTCATGGTTTTTGATGAATAGTAAGCGATAACTAAAACATTACTTAATATAATTAATTAAAAATTGCTTCACGGTGAAGTAGACAAAATTTGCTTCAAACAAAAGTAGAATTTGTTATTTGTAAACCATTTAAAGGGTTTTTTTATTACTTTTGAGTGAATAAACTAAGATATGTTGTGATATAAAAAAAAATCATGAATTATTCGTCTACATAAATCCAACTATACTGTAGACACCTCACTTTTAGAAAAACTTTCTTGTTTAATATGCTTTAAATCCATATTAATTAAGTGGTGGGTTTATAACGAAATAAGTTGAGATTCACCTCAAGTTGTGTAAAATAAAAATAATTAGGTGTTTTGATATCCAGTCATCTTAAAGCACCCGTGTTTTGGACAAAACTGACCACCATTAATTATTGCAAAGGTTTAATTTATGTTTTTCCATTACCTGGGATGTATTATCATAAACATAATTAATAAATAAAATTGTTAAAAATAATGATTTTCGAATATTCATCATTTAAAGTGATTATAAAACTGAGTTTTTTTTTATTAAGATTTCAATTATAGAAATTGATCCGTGTTTGTAAGTGATCTATTAAACGTTTCATATTCTAATATCTACATGTAAAATAAAGAAGCTTGCTGATTGCATAAATATTAGGATCAGAAACATTTAATTAATCACATATTAGTAGGGATCAATTTGTATAATACAGAGCCTAATAAAAAACAGTTTCATTATCATTTTTAATGATAAATATTTAAAAATACATTATTTTTAACATTTTTTTGTTATAAATAAAAAGTGTGTTCACAAATTTATGTTTATATAATACATCCCAGGTAAAGGGAAAAATAAATCAAAGCCTTGCAATAATTTTTGCTGAAAACTACTGGTATCTCAAGGTGACAAGAAATCAAAACACAATTTTTTTACACAACATGAGGTCGATTTCGACTTATTATGTAAAAAACCCTCAACTTAATTAATATGGATTTAACCCTTTGACTGGGGACAGGATACATGCCTTCCAGTTAAGAGTTGGGTAACTGGTGCAGACGGGATGTATACCTTCCGGGTAGTGATTTGGGTCACTTGTGAGGCTGGGATATATGCCTCCCCACCTGGGCGGTCATCACTTAACCAGATTCGAACAAGTCCGGCCTTCCCCATTTGACTTGTGGCTTGGTCATGCATTCATTAGTCCCCTGTAGCTGACTCAGTGTTCTCATTCCGGATTCTGACCATTTGGAATCTATCAGTTGCAGGTTTATTCTGAACTCATGTTTGTCCTTTCTCTATTATTTGAGTCATATCCATGATCTTATTTATATTCTATTTAAATGTTTTAGATATCAAATAAATATTAATAAGATAATTTTTTCTTTCTTATTTAAATTTTGGTTTTGTCAGATGTTTCAGGTACACGTGAATCAACATCTACATTATATATAAAAATTCAGGGGTGCCCAATCCCCCCTAAAGTTGATGGCGTAAAAACCTGTCCCCTCCCCTCCCAAGATATTTTATTGCTCACCTTTTCTTAAAAACAGAGCAAGCAAACAGAAGTAGAATTAGAAAAATCGGAGATCATATACAATTACACGTGCTGCAATCTGTTTCATGTTTTCTCCTTGTCTCTTGGAATGAAACTTTTCATTCTGAAAATTGATAACATCCCCGAAATATGCCCCCCTCAAAAATTCAAAACCCCGCCAAAATATACCCTCCAAAATAAATCCCGGCGTAACTTGCGCCATCAAATCCCCTTCTGTGCACCCCTATATATGTATATATATATATATATATATATATATATATATATATATATATATATATATATATTTATATATACATTTATTTATTATATATATATATATATATAATAAATAAATGTAAAAGAGTGCTTGCTATAAAGCTAAGATTATTCTGTTTGGAATAGTTAGTGAAAGCCTAACGTTTTTCCTTATTTTTCACGTGACAGTTTTATGCATTGTAAGCTATTGTGTTTTAAAAGAAAGAAGAATAAAGGGATATTCACAAAGCTACAGAATAAGTGAGTAATTAATAGATAATTTGTTTCTAGCACAGCGTAACAGATTAAAACGAGAAAAAAAAAAATAAATGATTAATAATGACGGATAAAAATCTGAAAAATTATTTTTCACCAACGGTCGATAGAAGTAAGAGTCAGGAATCTGATAATGAAGAAGAAGGAAGAAAAAGAAAATACTCGGAGGACCCTGATTAACCATCAATTACTAACCTAACCTTAAACGAGTTCATGAACTCTTTAGGTAAGTCGATTGATGAGAAATTACAGAGAGTGGATCAGAAGATGGAAATATTGGCTACAAAAAATGATATTGCAATATTCGCGGATAAGATTGAACAATTATCAACAGAAAATGCTATACAACGAGAAGAATTGAAATTACAACGAGAAGCGAATAAATTACTATCGAGACAGGTGGAATTTATTCAAAGGGAAATAAATAAAAATAACATTATTGTTAAAGGCATGGATATTGACCCTACTGAGGATTGTACACAAAGCATTAAACGGCTCTGCACTAATACCTTAGGTATGCCTGAAAATATTATTATAAATAGAGCTCGATTTATTGGTAATCGTAATACAAATAAGAAAATTATTTGTGCAGAATTTTCAAACGAATCCGAAATAAGAACAATATTATAGGCATCCAAAATATTAAAGGGTACTGGAATTTCTAATGAAAGAGATCTTACTTTCACACAAAGGTAAGTCAAAAGAAAAATACTGTATTTAAGAAAATGCCTCAAGGAAAAAAACTTAAAAATATCGACATCAGTTCAAAATAATTTTTTGTGGGTGAATAACCATAAGTTTGTTTGGAAAGAAGAAAAAGGCCTCATGTTTGGTAATGAAAACGGTATAAGAAAATTAAATGAAATCACGAGCATCGACTTATCTGACGCGATGAAGAAATTGTTGGCGGAAACAAATTCAGAAGAAGGAAGAGATATTGCTACAGGTGCTGTTTCAGAAAATATTCGGAACCAAAACAAATGAAATAGAGCCGTCTGTCAGGTCAAAACAAGTGAGATTAATGATTTCAATCCTATTAAGTTGAAATTACTTTCATTCAATATTGGTGGATTGGCTAATAAACTTATTTTTGATTATTTTTTTTTTCAATTTATCAAACAATATGATATTATAGCTCTCTATGAGACATTTTTAGTTAAATCCGAAACTTTAAAATTTGAAAAATATTTTAGTGATTTTAATTTAATGTGGATCGGAGCAAAAAAAAAAACTAATAAGAAAGGAAGGGCAAATGGTGGCCTTTTATTAGGTATTAGAAATAATTTAATTGTAAGCATGCAAATTCGTGAGATTGAATGAATGGGATTTAATTGAAGTAAATAATGTTTATGTAAAGTTTTATATTGTACCAGTTTATTTAAATGTTGGTGCTTGAGATGAGGACTTTTCAAGGTTATTAAATTTTCTTTCATTATTTAACGAAAAATACGTTCTTATAGGAGACATGAATGTGAGGTTGGCGGAGAGGCAGATTATCCCGGAAAATATATCACAGGAAAAATGTTTAATCAACTGTAGCAGGAAATCTAAAGACACAACTTTAAATAGTAGAGGTCTGTCGTTCTTGGAAATGTGTGATGATCTAGATTTGATAATATTAAATGGCCGTGCGGTGGGTGGTCCCGATGGTGATTTCACATACATTTCGGGGAGGGGTAGTTCTGTCATTGATATTTGTTGTACATCTGCGCCTATTCTGAAATATATAAAAAATTTTAAAGTTATTTCCAAAATTTACACACAGCATATGCCTATTGAATTGGTCTTAGACTTCAGTCATTCAAATAATGTTAGGAATTGTAAAGCCCTCCAACTTAAGAGATTGCGGTGGTCACGGCAGGATGAATTGTATTTTGAAACAAAATTAGAAATTAAATTAAATTACATAAAATTAGATGAGATTAATGAATCAGATCTAAAACTGAAACTATTGTTGGAATGTATTATAGAATGTGCTTTTCATAAAAAACAGATAAATAATGGTAAAAAATTAGGAAAACAGCAGTGGTTCGACGGTGAATGCATTAAATCACGGAATAAATCTTTTAGATTTCTAAATATTTTTAGAAAACGAAATGATGTTTATAACAAATTCCAATACTTGAAGATAAATAATGAATACAAAGAATTAGAAAAAAACGGAATGACTATTATAAGACCCTTAAAGAAAAATTTAAATGTATTAAAAACACTAAAGATCTGTGGTCACTAATAAGCCAATTCATTGTTTAATTGGTTTAATTAAGGAGGTCTTCAAGTTTTATTAGTGAATCTAATATTACAGGTGAGCAGTTTAGACAGTACTTTGATTTATTGTTGAATCCTGTTATAAAAGCTCCTGAAATATTTTATGCCGCTCCAAAATGGGAAAATTTTAAGCTAGATAGGGAAATAGGTTTAGACGAATTAAAATGTGTATTGGCTGAGGCAAAAAATAATAAAGCGCCAGGAATCGATTATGTGTGAATTTTTCAAAAATTCCCCAGAATGCGTATTGCAACAAATCGTTAACGTATTCAATTATTACTTTAATAGTGGAAGAATCCCACAGAGCTTCACTAAATCAGTCATTTACCCGTTATTCAAAAAAGGAGATATCCATAAAGTTGACAATTTTAGGGGCATATCTTTTGTTAATATAATTACAAAATTATTGACTGGAATTTTATTGGGACGTTTATGGAACTGGGTGAACACAAATGATATATTAAATGATTTCCAAGCGGGTTTTCGTCCGGGGTACTCAACCGTAGACCACATTTTCAGCTTGTTTAGGATTGTCAAACTGACTCAGGCAAAAGAAAGTCGTAAAGTGTATGCATTTTTCATTGATTTTTAAGCGGCGTTTGATTATATAGACAGGGAGGCTCTGTTTTTTAAGTTGGCTAATCTTGGGCTGTCCCATAATTTTTTTAATGTCATAAGGAGCTTACATACAAATTGATACAAATGCATACAAGTTGACCAATAAAAGATAAAACGTACATTTTAATACAAAACATCTCAGATTACTGAAATAATTATTTTGTAATAATTTATTGCAAGGTAGGGGCAAGCACGTGGAAGGGGAGAGATTTAAAATGTATCTGTTATCTTTTCTGTTTTAACAGTTTTTAAAATTTATTTAAGAAACATTTTTAAAAAGCTATCAAAAAATAAATCTCTCGATTCTATCTCGCCCCCAACATCAGGGACTGAAAGTATGTTGTACAGGACACTTGAATGAGTAACGAAGTGATAATGTAAACAATGATAAAATAATGGTAACAAATTGAGATGTTATAAAATAACTGTAAGAAAGTTAGGACTTATAAAATAATAGTAAAAAATGAGGAACTTATAAAATGATAGTGTAAAATTAGGAAGTTATAAAATAACGGTAATCAAATGAAAAAATATACCTGAAAATGACGGTAACAACTTAATGAAGTTTACAAAGAAAAGTAAAGTTGTTACAGTAATTTTATTATTTTATTTTATTATTTACTTTATCATTAAACATGGGAGAGGGGTAGTACAGTGGTAGGGCGCTGAGCTTCCAATGTTCAAGGTTCCAGGTTCGAGTCCTGTCTTATGGCAGATAAAATATTTATTCTGTTTTATGGGCCTTGAATCGATCCTGGGGACGGGAGAAACTCCTGGGGCACACCTAGCTTCTGAAATGTGGGTACCCTTAATTAAATAATTGATTAAGGAGGAAAACTTGGCGGTTGAGCGTGATCTTGGTAATATCATCTTGCTCAACCATTGACCAATAAACAAGTACCTTCTCTACATTAGTACTGAACCCAAGTCCGTTCATGGGTTGCAGTGGCGTAGGTTTTTTTTTCTATCATTAAAATCTTTCTCCTCCATAATTAAATAATAGTGCTTCCAATGGGTCTATGACTTTTTCTAAATGTCTTTTTATGTCATTATATTTCACTTTACACATCAACTCGTTGAATTATAATTTAATGTAAATTTCATGAATAAATATACTTATGTATATTTACGGATAATACTGATGTCATCAAATTTCTGAAAATGTCTGATTTTTTAAATTTTCTATCGCTGTAAACTTGATGATCATTCATGAACGATCTATATTTTTGAAATATTCAAATATTACCCGGTATCTGCTCTTGAAATGTTTTTTTTAAGAGTTTTATTTTATAATGTTTATTTTGATTCTTTTCCTGATAAAAGTGACTTTATAAATTAGTTTGTTTTAGTGCATATTTTATTAGATACATTTAAGTAAGTAACATATTATTTGACTGTTTCTTATCTTATTACACAAAAGTTGGTCATAATTATAGTTAATTTTTTGAAATGGTTGTTTCATTTAAATAGGTTTATTGTATGGTATGTTATACCTTGTAACCTTCAGACTTTTCCCATGTATTTCTCTGTCATCAGAATTATAATATGTCATTCATGGAGGTAGAAGTTGTTTTATTGAATTATAATTAATTGATTTTATACATAGTTTGTAGGAAAAATATAAAATCTGAACAATCATTTGGTGGAACATTGCATTGTATGCATTATGTTGTTTTAAAACATGGTATTGGTACAGATATTGAATGATCTGTTAACAGACTGCTGATCCAGAGTAGGTTTTAATTTGCAGAGCAGGCTATACCTGCCCTGTACCTAATAATCTATTTAGGTATAGAAGAGGTATAGAAAGAGATGAAATAGAGCACTAATGGAGGCAATGAGATTTAAGGTTCCTGTAGTACATGTTATATTTTGTTAGTCAAAGAGAAAGAATAATACAAAAGAATCAGATGCAAATAAGTGTAATACGATTGGAAAATCATGGAAGTGGTGATTGATGAAGAATACAACTCCTAATTTCAAAGATAAAGTATTTCACAGCCAACTTAAGCCGAGCGACTAGACAAGATTTAAAGCAACTTAAGCTCTTTAAAATTAATACTAAACTTGAACCTACTGTGCAAGAGAAACCACGATTTGGAATAGTATCTAAATGGTCATATCACTTGATATCAGAATTACGTGAATACAAATAGGAAACATTTACCTAATAAGAGAATATTATAAATTAAGTAAACTATAATTGTAGAAATGTTTATATTAATTGTATGTTAGAACCTTGTTCAAGAATTCCAGTTCTAGACAATGTCTAGTGCTTCAATTATTAATTCTTATTATTTGTTTTCAGGATGCCAGTATTGAGATTAAAATGCATATTTGTTTACTTCATGCTATTGCAAGTTTTAGCCCTTGTTGGCTTTTTTATGGGCTTTTTTCCAATCAAAACATTGCCTAATAGAAATGCATCTCTTGAAGACTTACCATCTACATTTAAGGATATCAGGTGAGCTAACTAAATTTTTATTTTTTTTACTTATTGTTTTTCTTGAAAATCATGGAATAGTGCCTGGTTCTAGAGGAATATTTTATTTCTATGACATACTGTGTAAAAATACATCTGTTGTAACTCCTGAGCTAATAAGGTTTTTATCCATCAGTAAATTTATAATATTTGGCCAGGCTGGTGAATTACTTTTGCCAGGTTATTATGTCTTTCATGATATTCATTCTCTGCTGATATTGTGCAGCCTATTGTTATATTCTGAATGGAATCAATTGCTCCTTTGCAAAGTTGGCATTTATCACTATCATCTTTATTAAATATGTACTTGCAGTACGAGTAAGTTACCACTACTTGGTCCTGTATAGGAAGTAGAAACCCTTAAGTTTCCAGAAATAGTGTTCCTTTTCAAAGCCATTCAACTAAAGTTGAATGATTAATACCTGTTGAAGTAAGGCCATTGCAAAACCTACTGTGTTGCTGCTTAGCACTACAATCTCATCAGTTCTTCATTGGTTACAGTCATTTTAGGCTCAACAGCAAGATTTAATGCAGTTAACTTTTTGTTTGTTTCCATAGCGGTAGTCATTATTTGTGTATCACTATTGGAAATACAGTTTTTCAACTGCATTTCCTGTTCTCTTTAGCTTTTAAACAAGTCCTCTTCCACCTTCTTTCCTTGGGGAATATACCCTTTTTCGTTTTGCAGTCATCATCACTCTAAGTCTGCAGTCTAACACTTGCAATAGCAGCACTGCTTGCACTATCAAGGGTTGATGGTCTTCCCCACCAGAGCACCCCTAACTCTAGAATTGTCTATTCTACGCTATTCTTCTGTTGCCTAGCTCCCTATATTTTGCATGTTATACCTGCTACCTGGTCTTCATAGGTAAGGTAGCCTTGAGGTACTATTTCCCTGTCGCTGCCCATGTCAGCGACCGCTATTTCACGCTGCCAACCGCTGTTGCATAGCTATTTCGCTGAAACTGCTCACTGGGGTTGTTATAACCTGCCTATAACCTTCGAACATTTTGTTCTATCTTCAAAGATAAGAAAATGGACTTACTACCACTTTTTTATTCTTTTATATTTATATATTATATTTGTATTCTTTTATTTATTTAATATCGTTTGGATTTAGGTATATTTGAATTTCATTGTAAAATATTGTTGGTGGAATAAATAAATAAATAATCTTGTTACTTCAACCTTAAAAAAATAATTTACTATTGCATTGTTTAAGTTTTAAACAATATTTCTTATAATTTTGCCAGACTTAAAAGAAACATATGAAATAAAACATATCAACATGACTGTTATCATCAAAACAATGCTCTAATATGATAATATAACCTAGAATCACCGAACCGTCAACAGCTCCCCTGTTTCAGGAGCGATCAGATAGGAGCAGCTTAGATATGGCGTCATACCTAGACTGCCGAGCAGCACGAACGAAATAGATTCCTTTCTATTCCACTAAAGCAGTGGTCAACTGCAAGCGGTCGCTGCCATGGGCAGCGCCAGCGAAATAGTACCTTTAGGGTGTATAATGGTGTGTAAAGATGGGCCATTCCGACTGCAGGTCGGAACAGAACGGTATGTTTTACTACTGAAAATCATTCTAGTTCTCGTTCCGAATAACACTTGAAACAAAATAGAGAATAATGAAACAGATATACATAATACTAAAACTACTTAAAATGACAGAAAAATCATAGAGTGTAGAAAATGAAGATTACAAGGTCCTTGTTTCATGCCATACTATATTATATTTATTTTTCATTTTAATATTCACAGTTTTTCTTTATATATTTTTTTACAATAATTATTCAAGTCTATTCTTTATGTTAAAGATAGATATATGAGTATAAAATAACTTGATTTTATTTAACAAACCATAAAAATTAAAATATTTGTCTACTTTATTCTAATCAATCTCCTTCTTGAAAAAATGACCAATATTATTATGGGCACTTGAAGAATTTATATATATATATATATATATATATATATATATATATATATATATATATATATATATATATATATATATATAGTGAAATATATTGAATATATATATATATATATATAACAGCAAAAGATATCCTACACAAATAAAGGAAGAAGTAGTAAGACTTGGGATAAAAGAAGAAGAATATATAGATAGGGATAAATTCAGAGAAATAATGAATAAGATGAAGGTCCTTGAAGTACAAAAGAAGAAAAAGAAAGGCAAGAAATGGACAAAAGAATGGGTAAAGAAAATGATTGAAGAAAGTTTTTGATTGTTGTATGATCATATTAAATACAGAAATAATATTCAATATATTTTTTCAGCTTAAATTTTGAACATTACATTTCATGTATAGCTTAAAATATACCACCGCTTAAGTTTACCACCTTCTAGGTTCCTAAAACTTTTGAGAATTTTCCTTTCTCATGCAGTTTGGATAGGAAAGTAATGAAGAAGTAAAAAGAGGGACATTAATGATATTTTTAAATTTAATTTAATTTAATAAATTTAATTTTGAATTGTTTACAGAATTAATCCAAAGGACTTCTATCATCGGCATGTCAATAGAATGATCCTGCTTGTTATTGATGGTTTGCGCTATGATTTTTTGAATGGGGAAGATGCTGAAGAAAATATGCCATTTGTTAGTAGTTTGGTCAATAAAAGTGGCAATTGCTTGTTGAAGGTGAGAGTAGAGACCCCAACTGTTACTATGCCACGTATAAAGGTAAATAAATAATTCATAGATTGTTTGATGGAAAAAGTGTTATTTTAATTATTAGTGTGCTGTTAAATTACCGTTGCTTGATTATTGCATTATTAAAATTTTCTTTGGTTATAGTTTACTTTTCAGTTTTATACATTAATACATATAAAATTTAAAAGGCTTAAGAGCTCTTAAGCTTTTCCATATTTATGTAAGAAGCAGTATCCCAGATATCTAGAATTTGATTAAAGGCAGCAACACATGACAGAGCTAATTGGTGAAAGCTCATTTAAGGCACCTTTTTGCTTGAATTATCCCCCATGTTTGCTGGAAGTAACTGAAAATTGTTATTTTCATTTGTTACTGCTTGTTTTTATGTTGAAACAGCTCACCGTGGCGTTCAACTTCTTAATTTCGGTTTGCTACTGTGAAAAGAATACACATACTAGAGTTTACAATGTGGGTTTAGATTTATATCATTTTAACTTTTTTATTATGAAGAAATTATCGTTTTAGCAAAATCTATCTCGGATAGCATATTCCAAACTCTGAAAAATAAAGAATCTTTTGCTATTTAATAGCTAGTCATTTGCAGAATAATAAATAAAAACTGTTTTTTTGGTTCAGAAATAAAAAAAAGTTAAGGGATCATGTTTAGAACAGTAGACCAAAAGTGATGATACCACACTGCTGGCTGCTGAATTGTCGCAACAAAATATGGCCTATGGATTTCCCTCAAAACAGTATTTAGCTACCACCTGCTTTCTACAAGCAGCAGGTGCAAAAAGGCACCTTCAGAAGGCCATGACCCTCTTGAATTGTAGTAAATGGTAGTAAACTATATGGGATGGTAGTAAATTGATCAGGGTGTTTACAGACAGAAAAAAATCAGAGAATTTCATTTTTCTGGAAAAATCATAGATTCTCATCAAATTCATCAGGAAGTGAGGGAATTTTTTGAAAATCTATTGCTAAAAAAAGAAAAAGGTTACTAAGAAAAAATAAAACAATAAAATTTAAAAATGAAGGCATCCAAAATTATCAAAACCAAAACTAGGGAAGCTATGAATACATCTATAAAGTTCAAAAATGTTTTGTGCTTAGAATTGGAAATGTCCACTTGTGTTTAATGTTTTGACGTCAAGGAACAAATTAGGTGCCATCTGTATCTGTCTGTCCAATCCATGTGAAGGCCATAACATCTACTACCATTAATCCGATTCGGATGAAATTTTTAGGGATTGTGGAATATAAGGTGTACCATCAAATACCAAATCTTTGTATGATCCCATTTCAATTTCTTCAAATTGATTCATTTATTTATGCACAAATTTATTTTCCTAAGCACATATACATTTCAAAATGGGCTGTTTGATTTGGCTCAAAGTCGGAGCGAAGTTAAGGATTAGTGAAAAAATGGTGTCATATAAATTTTATCAAATTTAATTTGCTGAATTTGATTAGTATAGGTGTAAACATATTTTATTCCATAAGCCTATATTTTATAAACATCTCTTTTGATTTAGCTCAAATTTGAACAAAAGATGGGCACCAGTTGTACTGATTTTATTTACCTTTGATAATTAGGAAAAAGTTAGTTACACTCCTAATAAGCTCAAATAAAAATTACAGATTACATTATAAGTAATTTAATTTTTTTTTCTTTTTAAGTTTACATTTAGTATGTGCGCTTTTATAAAAAAATATATTATTTCATATAAAAATATATTTAAATTCAACATTTAAAAATAAAATTGTTTCTATCTAAAGTGAATAAACAATTTCATTTATAAGACTTATAAAATACAATTTTAGTCTACTAATTATTTTTTTTATTATGTTTCACTTCCAGTGGACAAAATTTGATTCCCCATGGAAGTTTTTTATTTGACACACTGAAAAGTTTTACTAAGTGTGTCTATATATTTATAAACTTTTTTTTTTAGGCCTTGATGACTGGAAATATTCCTGGTTTCTTGGACATTATTCGAAATTTCAAAACTAATGAAATTACTGAAGATAACATTTTGAGGCAAGCTTCTAAGAATGGTTTCATCCCCATATTTTATGGGGATGAAACTTGGATCAGCTTATTCCCTCATGAGTTCATAAGGAAGGAAACAACAACTTCTTTCTACGTTAATGATTTTTTTGAAGTATGTAATTTAATTATTGGTTCTGCTATTATATGTGCATCTATATTTTTAGCATTTTTAAAAATTAATTATAGCAATCTCAAATTATAATTAAGTTTATTATATATCTTTATAAAACTGAAATGAATTTTAAATAGTTTACATAAATGTCGCATACCAAGTAATACTGTAATATCTTCTACCCTGTGGAATGGATCTTAAAGCGGAATACCACTGAGGCAACACTGAACGACATGTTGCATGTTGGATACTTGGTTCCTAGTGTTGCCTATTGTAGCCGTCTGACTATGTGGCACAAAATTCAATTAATGTCTTATGCTCTTTGTCGTACACCTGTGTAGGATGCGACTAAAGCGATTCCATTCAGGCAACTTCAGTTTGGTACATCATGTCATTAAAAACAGACACAGCTGCTGCATATTTGGCAATCGCTTTGAATCAAAAAAGGAAAAGGAAAACACCACGATATTGGAGAAGAAAGCTATAAATTGATGGTCAAGAAATTTGGTATAATTTAATATTTTACGCTTGAAGAGTAGTGGAAAATTTATTTTAGTCCGAGAGTCTGAAAAAAAATTGGCATTATTTAATTAAAACTTTAAAATAATTTTTTAAAAATATTTATAACACTTATATTTATAAAATTAGTCTGCCAGTCGAATTTAGCTACCTGTAAAAATGGCTGCTGATGTAAAGAATGTTAGACCAGTTACTTGAGGATCGAAACGGAAAATTGATTGAGTAAAATGTGGGAAAAGGTTTTATTTTTTAAATTGTATATTAGAGTTCAGAGATGTAAGAAAAATGATAATGAGGTATAAAAAAAACAAAAAAACAAATTTCATAAAGAAATAATGAATCTCGATTCGAGAGATATGATTGATGTATATTAAAACTGTTAGTACCGAGTGGACGCGGAAATTGATGCTCTATAACTTATATTCTATGAGTTTTTCTCTTAGAGAATTCATTTCCAAGTAGCAGCGCCATTCATACATAGTAACTTGTCTGTTTTTGACAAATTTGGTAAAAATCAGTGTTCATTGACCGTGGTTAACGAAGATTACACTTAACCAAATTATTAAGTTTAGGTACTCGTTTGACGCACAATTTATTTATTTTTTGATTTCTTAAAGAAAATGTTTTTTGCTTTGTTGCACCGTTTAGGAGCCATTGGTGAAAAAAAATATATATATAGAAATAATCTGGCTTTTTCTGGAGCAGCAATTTTGTTTTTGACATGTCTCAAACAATATATAGCATCTCCAAGTCAATTTCAACCTTTTCCAAATCAAATTCAACCTTTTCCAAGTCAAATTAAACCTTTTCCATTTCAAATTCAACCTTTTTCAAGTTAAATTCAATCTTTTCCATTTCAAATTTAACTTTTGAATTATTGTAAATTTTCGAAATAAAGGCCACTTGCTATATTATCAAGGCATAGCTTAAGAAAAATACAAAAAAAAAAAAAAAAAAAAAAATGTGATAGCGCGGTTGCATATCCATTTATTTTTACTTTTAAGATTTTTTCGGTTTAATATTTCCATGTCATATTCAGTTTTTTCCAAGTTAAAATTCAACCTTTTCCAAGTCAAATTCAACCTTTTCCAAATCAAATTAAACTTTTTTCAAGCCAAATTCAACCTCTTCCATTTCAAATTAAACCTTTTCTAATTCAAATTCAACCTTTTCCATTTCAAATTAAAGTTATGATTTTTTGTAAATTTTTGTTTTGGTTTTTCAAATTAAGGGCCATTCCAATATGAAGGTTTATTATTATGCTCTCCTAAGTAGAGTTTTTCAAAATACTATAAATTTTATGTCGATTTTCAGATATTGATTTATTGTACCTATTTGAATTTATTCAGTATAAGGGTCTAGTACTATGTTATCATGTGCCTAGTTTTTGGAAATAATCTCCATTTTAAGATTATGCCACTGTGTTTCGACTTATTTAAGTTTTTTGGATTTATTGGATATAAGGGTGTATTCTCATGTTTCCGGAGCCATCGATTTTGAAAATGACATCCATTTTATGATTAAGCCTCTGCGTTTCGACTTATTTAATTTCATCAGATTTATTCGATATAAGGGTGTATTTTTGTTTCCGGAGCCGTAAATTTTGAAAATGACCTCCATTTTAAGATTATGCCACTGTGTTTTGGTTTATTTAGTTTTTTGGACTTAATATTTGAAATTTTTCTGATCTCTAATATTTAAATTTATCTCATATTTAATCTCCATTTCATGATTATGCCGCTGCATCTGGATTAATTAAGCCTTTTTTAAATACAAAGTTTCATCAATATGTTTTCGAGAATGATTAAATAAATACTATGAAGCTAAGTTTAAACTAACCACAAAACACAAAGTAAAAAGCAAAAAAAGCAACTGTAATAAAGAAGCCAACAAGTAAATTTAACTTAACATTTTCAGATTTTTCAGCTAATTGTTCAAAATTTGTGCTATACTATACTAGCCTATAGCTATTGCTATACTATTCTCTATTTCTTTGGGGAGCTCATTTTTTTTGGTGACAAGGGATCCAAGGTATTTGAAGGCTTCACAAACTGGGAAACTGTGACCACCGATAGTAACAGATTGTGGTCTTGGTGGCTGGTTTTGTGTGCTCCTCAAATACTCCATTTTTCTTTCATTGATATGTAATGAAGAGGTGGTGCATGCAACATGATGTCATAGTCATTTGTCTTTTTCAACCGCTGCCTTAAAGTAAAAATGCAGTCAGTTGTCGACCTTTCCTTTCTAAATCTGCTTTGGTACTCACCAACTATTTTCTTCATGTGTGCCTTTAATCTTCTGCATATCAAAGATGACAGAACCTTGGAAGCAATAATAAGGAGGGCTATACCTCTGTAATTATCACAATGCATTCTATCACCTTTTTTGTAGATGGGGCATAAAACAGCAGTTGACCATTAATCTTTTAACTTATCCATATATCAAAATTTATTCCATAAAATTCCTATGTACATGTACTGCATCTCTACCTTACTTCAAAAGTCCTACTGGTATACAGTCAACACTAGGGACTTTGTAGTTTTTCATTTTGAGGTGAACTTTCATAACCTCTTCTTCCTCAGGAGGAGCTTCTATATCTTCTCTATTGTCGTTTTCTTGGGACTGATCCAGTTTGAGGTCCTGCTGATTTTCATAACCCTCTTCTTTCTTCATGTTCAGCAGGCTCTGAAAATGCTGACTCCAGATGCTCATCCAGCCCTATGGCTGGTCAGAAGGTTGCTGTTCTCATCCTTAATGAAATCTTGTCTTGGCTTGAATTCCTGTTGTATATGCCTTACAGCCCCTAAGAAACCTCATGTATTTTTATTTTTGTATGGGCATTTTATGTGCATATATTTCTCTTTTTCATTTATTGTTAATCCTAGAGAAAACTATGGACTCTATTTTTTCATCTAACAACGTTTTGGGCATCTTCGCACATTTTCAAGTCAGAATATCTATAGCATTAATAACAATATTATTAATATATGTTTATCTAAATTTATCAACACATTAACAATAAATACATTTTTTTAACAATCACTATTAATGAATAAAACTTACTTAGACATGACTATGTGATCCTATAAAAATTGTTTTTTAATTTTTTGAAATTTTAATTAAAAAGTATCATATTCTAAAAAATTCAAAGATAAAAAAATCTATTTTTTTTATTTATTTATAGAAGAACTGGCCAATATATATTATATTAAAAAACTAATTTTGTATTATTATTTCATTAATTACCTGAAGATCATCTAAAAAATAATTTAAAATCCATTCAAATTTTAAGAAAACATTATCGTCTTTTTTAAGCTATGTGCTTACATGTCATTAATGTGCTTCTAGGGATTAAGAATACCGTATTATTTTAAATTATTTCAAGTTTTCTTAATAATAATAATTTAGCTCAAAAATAACTCTTAATTATGTTTATTTAAGATTTTAATTTATTTATTATATCAACATAGTATCTCATATGAAATACTTGATGGTTGACCGTTTTATATTATTGAGTAAGCAAATGGTCCATGCCTAAAAAATAAAAATAAAAATAATTGTTCACAATTTCAGTCTTTTTATGACTGCCACCCCCGGACCATTTCCTTACTCAACATAGTGTTTCCCATTCCCTTTTATGTCAGTTTTGGAATTTACTACATTTTTTAATGTTTATTGATTCTAGAAATTTTCTTTCTTTACTATCATCTGCCGAAAAAACTGATGAAACGTATTTAAAAAAAATAAAAACTGAGATTTACTAAATTTTATATAACAATTTCTACCCATAAAATATATAAATAGGCTTTGATGTGAAAGTTATCATGAGATAAATAATGCCAAGAATAGTAGCAATAAATGCCAAAATTATTAGGCAAATAAGTTTTTAATATAATGTATAAAATAATTTTTATAGGATTACATAATTATGTTTTATTCATTAATAGTTGTTGTTTAAAAAAAAAAAATTTTATGTGCTGATAAATTTGTATATACATATGTTAATAATATTGTTATTAATGTTATAGATATCATTCTAGACTTCAAAATGGGCGAAGTTGCCTGAAACGTTATCAGATGCAAAAATGAGAAATAAGTGAAATCAAGTTTTGTGAAGTATAAAGGGTTTGTTAAAGGTGTTCTTCAAAATAAATGCATTATATTGAATAATCATAATAATAATAATAAGGCTTAGGGAACCCGAAGGTTCGATGCCGACACCACCAATCGCTTGTTACACACCTCCCTCCACCGTTCGCCGTCCAAACCCAGTCCCTTCAGATCGGCTTTAATGCAATCTTCCCACCTTCGCTTCGGTCTACTCCTCGGACGCTTACCATTCGGCACAGCAAATATTAACCTTTTAGGAATTCTCTCGTTACTGAGCCCAACAACTTTACCAGCCCATTTGATTCGCCGCGATGAAATTACCTCAATTATATTACCCGGATACAGCTCACGCAATTCGGCGTTGTGTAACC